ACAAGTCACAGTGTCACACACATACATAGGTAATTACCAAGGAAAGTTCCCAACATAATCTCTACAAATATCTTCGAACTAGACTATTAACATAATAATGCATATATCATAGGAAGACGAAGTCAAACCTCCAAACAAAGGCTTTCGAAAATTAAAACCTCAGTAATTTCTTGATTGAGCGAATGTTTGAATTTTGTCCTTCGCTAATAAGGTATGTCATTACGTAGTGGTAGTTGTTGGACATTACTATCAGTGCGAAAAAAGGAAGAAAAGAAAATGTCAACAATTTTATCGTTCAGACTCCCTCTTTCGTTGATTCATCCTAAATAGCATAATAAAAATAATTAAAAGAAAAAAAAAAAAACCCTTCTTTAGTTTCCCCCCCTCTTAACTAACGCTCCAAAACCCAAATAATTTTAGCACACTTAACATGAACAATTTCTCATATATTTAATCCCTTTACTAAGCAATATTAATTGCTGAAGGTACAATAAATTGCCAGGCACTGTTAATCAATTACATAATAATAATAATATTCATGCCCTTTTATACTACGATATGTGATCGACAGACAATATGAGAACGAAGAATTAGTAGTTCAAAATGAAGAAGCAAAGAATAGAAAGGACAGTGCAATACTGCAATTAGTCCAAAGTCAAAATGTGAAAAGGCCAACCCATTCTTAATGCAAAGTTTTCCTTATTAGTAGGCGCCAAGAAAAACCGCTTCTTAAGAACCTATTATTTAATCTTCTATTATGTAAGGAAATGCACACCAACGTAGACCAAGTCTCTACATATATATTTCCCTTTTATAATTATGATGACGATAATATGTGAGAAGAAGAAAGTACATAGAATGATAGAATCATTTGTGCCATCACTTAAAAAAAGGAAAACAAGTAGATGAGAAAAGGATACGAAAAAACAAAAACAACATGCAATTATATGGAAATATTAATAATTAATGTAGGTTATTTACATGAGCTGTTTTCAATTTCAGTAGGTTGTTTAAGGCTTATTACTCTTCAGATGGTTAAAACAGTATATTTGGAACAAAGAATGTGATGTGACAAGCCTCAGCCAGCAAAACACAAGATGCCTAAGCTAAAACACTGTTCTTTTGTCCCTGTTCTTCTGTCCTTAATCTTAAGTTCCTTCTACATTTCTTAACTAAAAAAAACCTATTTCACCTCCACCTCTTAATCACATATATCTCACCAAACACATGCTCTCGTCTGCATTCCTCCTAAACCCGATTTTCCTGCATATAACATCCAGAAACAGGGTTTTCTAACACTCGTAATAAAGAACTAAAAAAAAAGTAAAAAAAAATCCTATGGCTGCATTTTCTATATTCAATCATCTGCTCTACATTCTAATTTCTTTCCTGTGTTGTCTTCTCCGCAATAGCTTGCTCCAATCACAACCACACTTTCTCTTCCAACCGGATTTTTAGTTCATACGTCAAACTTCCCCATTTGGGGGCTCGTCTCCACTGGAATTACATTCCATCCCTCAGAAAAACGTCGATTGCATACAGAGCCAAACAAGTCCAAGAGGGATGGATTGCATGGGCAATAAACCCGTCGAGCTCGGGCATGATCGGATCGCAAGCTCTCGTTGCTTTCCGTAATTTCAACGGCAGCATGACAGCTTACCCGACATCCATAACCACCTACAACCCTTCCATGCTACCGTCCCCACTCAGTTTCCAGGTTTCAAATGTCTCGGCAGAATATAGAAACAACGAGATGATAATATATGCCGTGATTGGGACATTTGAAAATAGGACCCGCTTTAATCGTGTGTGGCAATCAGGAAGTTCGGTTTCGGACAACATTCCCCAGATGCATTCATCTCCAATCAGTGGCGGAAATAGACTTCCAGTTAGACTATATTTGAAGTATCATTCTCGTACAATTTCACAACCAATAAAAGACTGTAATGTATGCAATTCATAAGAAAACAAGAGTGCAATTTTTCCTCAGGATATTAGATCCACCTCACATGGATGGGGGACATAGACTTCTGGTTAGAATAGTGAATAATGGAAATTGGTGGAATATGAACTTGGGTTTGATAAGCTAATATCCCGACCAACTCCACCTAAAACCTTAAGTCTAAAGTTCTATATGCATATGACCAACTAAACTTCGCTAGTTTCTACTCCTCGGCAATATAGAGAGAACAGAATTCGAGTTGAAATAATGTATGTAATGCCATGCAACTACTCAGTCGTGTATTAGAATTGTATACTAACTCTCTCGAGTAAAATAATATAAGCACAGATAGAAATTAAAGTTGATTTTCGTGGAAAATTACTCAGGCCTGAAGGAATAGCAGAAGAATCTAAAGGATCATTCAGAACAACATTACAACCAATGAAAGACGTGTACCTTAGGTTATTCAAAAGAAACTAAGTGTGTGATTTTCCTCAGGATATTGGATCCAGATCACACATCACAGAATGCCATTGGTCATGAATGAGTTACAGCGTTTATTATTAATTGATGCAGTTCCTCTCTCTTGGATTCAGTGATTGGTAATTCCAGTGTAATCTAAGCAAAACATAACAAATTATACAAGGTCAGTTCTGAAATTAATCATTCATATGATGGGAACAATTTAGCATTGTCCAGTCTCTATAAATTAAACATCCAACAGGCTATACAAGTTAAAAACCAGCAAATCACAAGCAAGTGTTGCTGCAGGCCAGCAAAATTTATACAAAAATAATCAATGTTAGCTGATAAAGATCATAGTTTCAGTTGTCAAACACGATGACGTAACTAGATTGCATGCCACCATGATCACAAATTATAACAGTACTAATTTCACATAACTATACAATAAGAAAAAGGATATTAAAGCTATACAACAGAAATAAAGAATTAGAAATAACCCTTTTCTTCACGGAAATGTAAAGTGGTCTAGCATCATGTATCCTGAGTTGTTTTGCTTTATCATATCCAAAAAAAGGTGAATTAACTTGACAAAGTTCTAAATATTTGAGCACTTATTGCAAATTTTTATCGCAGAAATGTTGCCGTTTGGGAACATCTAAAAAGCATCGTGAAGCCAGTAATTATTGCATCTCAGGTGTTAGATGCTAATAAATGATGTACTCACCTCTTTGAAAATCTCACTGCAAGAAATCACCTTGAAACCCTGGAAGAAAGTGTGAAGTGTTAAGTCTGTATAATGACCACCAAACTACAAGTAATTTCAGCATCTCTGTNAGCCTCATTTGATTCACCGATTTTTGCACGAAAGACAAGCATACCAAAATTCGTGACTGCAAATGCCATCATGAGAAGAACTGACTCTTTCGCAAGTCCTTTGCCACGACTATAAAGAAAAAATAAGATGAGCATCTAAGTAAGAAGCCAAATGATTACACAGATACCTAATATATGACAAGTAGATTTACTATAGTTTTTTTTTTTCACCTAAGGCCTCAGAAATATTAAGTGTCTCGCTCAAAGATGAAGTCGTTCAGAGATTTACTATAGTTAACCCTACGCTGTTCATACAAGAAAAACAAAAAACAAAAATAAAGATTTCAATAGATAAGGTTCTCAGTCCATCAAAACAAAAAGATTCGATTGATGGACCCAATCATTGTCTGTATTAACAGTATATTTCTATTTGCTACAAATAAGCCGAGTAAATAAAAAAGCAGTTTAGGATTATTTATTAATGAGCATAGCATATACACTTTCCTTGAGATGCAGTTAATTCCTTCAGAAAATTGAGATTTTAACAAGAACATATTGGAAAATGTCCACAACAATGTAATACATATCTGAGAAGCTCCAAAAATAGGAACATATAATGAACCAATAACTAGTCAAGGAAATATGCACTGACATCCACAAAGGATAATTCTTCTCTTACTACCACAGACATGCAACACAAGAACAATATGATACAACAACAACATAGCCAGTAGTCCCAAGCAAGTCGGGGTAGGCTAGAGATGAAACCCAAGAGAACCATCGGTAAAAGAAACACAAAAAGGGGTTGAAACAAAAGGAAGAGATTGGAGCAAAAGAGAAAGAAGCAAAAGTCACGGTTCTGGCACGTTGATTGCTAGCAGTCATTATTTCCAATATGAAAATTTATCAACTCCAATATGAAAAACAAAATAAGACGAGTGAGATGACACATGTACTTTTTTTCTAAATGTCCAAATACGTATACCTTTTCTGTTCAGCAATCATTATTTCCACCTCTGCCATGTGAGGATCATCCATGTCATTCATGAATATGTTCACATCACCAACCATGGCTGAAAGAAGTACCACAGAGTAAGCAGACCATGCTATACTAAGATCAAAGAGCATATAATAAGATAATGACCTTCGGTGTGGGGTTCTCCATGAGCAAAATCTCCAATTACTAACTCTTTGTCCAGCACTATAAAGGTCTGCTCTGTAGAGACAGAAAACCCATAAATCAAAAACACCTCTCTGAATCACAAATTCACATCATTTTCATGGAAATTGCATTAAAAAAAAACATGCAACTAAAAAAGTAAGGTGTAATGCATACTAAGGGGGTCTTGAACCCAGGAAAGTTGCATCTCATATTCCTGATCAAGAGTGAGTGGTTCAGATGCAGTGGCTTGGAGGATGGCTGGGTCTTGCATCCAGGCATGGTACTTGGGCACATGCTCTTTCATGTATGGGACTAGTATCACCTTTTCTCCTTCCACACTCATCTTCGTCCTTCTCTATACCTGCTACTAGAAAGAAATATATATACACACACACACACCAAACCTCAAGATTGATCAAGTGAATCTAAGCAGAGTCCCTCCGAGCAGTACCCAACAGTGTATCAATTACAGTGTTCAGACATTCATACGTTCATTCAAACATAATGTTAGAAAATGTGTTTGGCACCATTTGATCAGCTTAAGGATTCTAACCCTAGTTGTTGATATTTTTTTAAAACAAATAGAGGTGAAAATGTTATTGCTTGATTTTATTTAAGATTCCTATATTTATTTATAACTATGATATATGCACTCAACATGGTCAGCGTTATGGAGTCCTCAACCCTTTTAGAGAAGGACAACATGATATATACTTTATATATACGTGTACATTACTTGCAGCTGAGGTATACTCTTAAGTATGTTACTACCGTATGTAGGATACAAAGCAGCGACGAGGTAGATAATAAAACAATTTTTAGAGATGTAGTGAGATGCTCCTCCCTAATACAAGTTTGTTAATTGTCACTTTCACTATCATTGGTGTGTTTATACTAGTATACTGCATATATACTTTTCCCTCCAGCAAAACTTTAAGAATTGATCATACCTTTGGCTAGCTCATTTGATGCGGGATTACTTTTATTGACTCATACTGGGTAAAAACAGAGGAATAGTTTGAATGAGGCAATTGATCAAGCAGTTGATAAGCAACCCGCAATATAAGGTATCAGTATTCCACCGTGCAAGTTTTTCAAGTGTTGAAAGCTTCGATTCCCACTAAATGACAGATAAAATTAAAACAAGCACGTGCTTTTATTACCTTGAGCAGCAGACAGCCGGCGATGTCTTTCTTTCAAGCGCGCAACCAAAATACTGTAGAGGGTTGGCTACTTCCGCTTTTCCCTCGATTTGCTTCGAATCAAGAATCGTACAGTCTTTATTCTTCAGATTTGTTTTTGGAAAGTTATAATTTTGCATTTTTGTTCTNNNAAAGATGAAAATCACTCGCACCCCACAGCGGGTCGACCAAGGCGTCAAAAGAGTCGTTCGCCGTACGCTTCAATCCAAATTTCCCTCCAAAAAAAAAAAGTTAAATTTTCATTTTTTGATGTACTAAATAATGATTAAAGAACAATTGGCTCCTCACCCATGTTTTGTTTTTCTCTATAAAAGTCCAACTCACTGTACACGATTCCTAATCACCCACCCACCACTACCCCCAATCTCACTCAACTCAACCATGTGTCCTCCTCCTTCCCACCACGGCCTTGATCCGGTGGCGTCGTACTCTCATCGCCGCCCCGGCGAGGTCCACGTCATCGTAGGACCCATGTTCGCCGGCAAAACCACCGCCCTCCTCCGCCGTGTCATGTCCGAAGCTGATTCCGGCAGGTAAGTTTCTTCCCATTGAATTAAATAACCTCGGCGGCGCGTCTGTACGTGTTTCCGCTCTTTTCCCTCCACTATTTTTGTGAATCCCTAAATAGAATAACTGCAAGATCGCTTTTTTAAGATCAAATGAACAAACTTTTTTAGGACAAGTGTGAAACTCTAGCTGACTAGGGAATTAATGTGGGTATACCAATGATTGCAGAAGTGTAGCCATAGTAAAATCGAGCAAAGACAATCGATACGCAGAGGATGAAGTGGTAACGCATGACGGCACGAGGTTGCCTTGCTGGGCATTGCCAGATCTCTTATCCTTTAAGACAAAATTTGGTCCCGACGCCTATCTCAAAGTAATTTATCCTGTTCACAATTTTTATGCTCTCCATCTTAGTCATTCATTCGTGCTCGTTGCTTATTTCTTTTATTCTGTTTGCCCTATGATAGTTAACTATGATACGACCAGAAACAGTAAAAGTGTTTTTATTTTGAGATTGGGATTGAAGTTTGCACGTAATTAGCTGATCTCGGTCTAGAGACCACTGTTTGGCCAGTGTTTTTCCAATGGTAACTAAGAGAAGATTGTTTGCTAGTTTGACAAGGGGATTTTGTGAGAGGTTAATTTACTCTTTCATGATATTTCTGAAAAGTGCGATAAAGTGAAGGGGGAAGTGCTAACTAGTTCATGTAATCATAGCAAAGTACAAATGCATGATTACCACTAGTTTTATTCTCAAAGTGAACAAGACGGAATATGCCAGAGTATCTCTACTTTCTATCTTTGATGAAGGCCTGTTTTGAGGAACGGAAAATGATTAAAAACCTTCCAAGTTTGTCTATGCATTTCTTGATCATTGGTCACAGAACTTGTGTATCTATGATGTACATCTGTAATAATTCACTAATTATTATGTAACTGTGGGCAGTTGGATGTGATTGGTATCGACGAGGCTCAATTTTTCGCTGACCTCTATGATTTCTGCTGTGAGGCTGCTGATGTTGATGGCAAAACTGTCGTGGTAGCTGGCCTTGACGGCGATTACTTAAGGTAGGCAATAGAGTAGCAAAACTCAAATTGATTGTGTCCAGATATGATTATATCGATTAAGATGCATGTTTGTTTGATTTGATGTTGGGAGGAGGAGTTTTGGGTCGGTGCTGGACGTGATCCCACTTGCAGATAGCGTGACCAAATTAACGGCATGGTGTGAGGTATGCGGCGAGCGCGCATTCTTCACATTAAGGAAAACGGACGAGATGCAAACGGAGCTCGTGGGTGGGGCTGACCTTTACATGCCCGTTTGCCGCCAGCACTACACCATCGGGCAAGCTCCCAAAACTGATGTGCAAACTACATCTGTTCTTCTTCAGACTGACCTCATTCTTGGTACCGCTGGCACGGCTTAGAGAATGTTCTTTTACCAACCATCCCATTATGTGTATTATGTCGTCGTTTTTTATAATGTTTTGAATTAGAAGATGAACGTAAATTCTATCACACCATTGAGAGGAATCAAACTGCAGTGAGTATTATTTAGTGATATTTTTAGCATTTGTACGCTTGAGTGAATTAGTTTGGAAAAAAATATATAATTTAATAATAAAAGTGGTGAAAAATGAAAAAGAAATATGGAAAAATAATGACTTTTGAGTTTGTGAATGTATACCGAAATGTAATGTACTAATTAAAGTTAATATGATATAAAAATAATAAAATAACAATTGTCTATGATAGTACAAATATATGAATTTTGTTGAAAAATATGTAGAAATAATTAATTTATATTTTTTGATTATTAAACAACTTAAAAATAGATGAAATGAAAAAAAAACTATATAAAAAATATCTGAATTGCGTGTATAAAATCAATTTGCCATAAGAAAAACAAAAACTGTACGAAATGAAAAAACAAAAACAAAAGAAAAAAAACCTTCACACCTAACACGGCGTTGACAAAAATGCAGGAAAGTGACATGACGGATTCTGTTGTAAGAGCTCAGTTGTTTGGATAAGATTGTATCAACAGTAGGCATATCTATATATCTATATCTATATATATATATAATAAGAAATTACAATTTACTAAATATAGTAACAAAAAATAGACCAAAATTTAATGCAGTCTATAAATAGTAAGTTTTATTATTTTTCTTTAAAAATCATACATTATTAAATGCTACCTTGAATTTCGGACTTTAGTTTATTTTATTATTTAAAAAATCTGGCTAACATTTATTTAGTGTGTATGTTTTTATTTTATTTTTTTCTTAAAAACAACGAATAACATTAAAATCTCGGTCTCTGTATTTATAAAATCTCAATTCAAAATATAACAAAATTTTTAGAATCTCGATCTTTATATTTGTGCCTTTAAAAAAAATATTGAACGCTAAATATATTTTTTAAATTGCATAATCAATCAATTAATTTTGATTTTTTGAAAATTACTATGTATATTTCTTATTAATATGCATAAAGTAAAAATAATTAATTCATCTTTAGATATATAATTTATAATCTTAATATACTATCATTTGGTGTAGACATTTATTATATGAATCATAAAATATTTTTATTTCATAAAATTAAATATATTTAAAGGAAATAAGAAAATTTCTTCGGATCAATCGGGTGATTGAATTAGGGTACTGCCCAGGTTGATTGAATTACTTTTAGGTGATATTTAAAATAGTCAAAAAACTTGACACAACTTGGTTGGTCTAAGGTGACTAAGTTATGCATCAGTTCGACCACATCAAATCAATTATTGAACCTAAATATAAATTTTATATTGAAAATATTTTATTACGTGAATGTGATGTAGTCCAAACTTCAAATAATCGTATTAACAATACTTTTATGACAACATGTTTATTGATTTATGAATATTTATATATCATTTTATTAAGATTTATGTGAATTAAATAATATTTTATTATAATATTTATTAATGTATAGTAAATATAAGGTTTTCAGAACTGGACCATCATCGAAACGATCAAGCTATTTTATTAAATCATTTGTGGTTTGTTCAAATTTTAATTTATAAATATTTTAATATATATATATAGTACTTTTGTGTAAATTTAAATAAAATGTGGTTACTTAGATATCTAAACTTATAAATTCAAATGTTTAAACTAATTGATAAATAATTTATAAATCACTATTTTATTTAATTATGTAATTTTATTTAAAATAACTAGTAATTACCCGTGCAATGCACGGGAAAAATATAATCTATGTGCTTTTTAGAAAACAATTTTGTATATATATTGTGTAATGATCATAAAAATAAACATATAAACATATAATTAAACTGAAAAAATTATACACTTGCTTCTTTAGAAATAAACCAATATTAGATAAGGATTATCCATGGCTGTTGTTTATAGTCATGGCCTAAGAAACCATAATTAGAAACTGTCTTATCTATTTATACGATATATGTGCATTTAACATGTGTTAGTATTATATTAGTTGTTTGGATAACCGCAAAGTGTTGTTTTGTTGTTGACTCTATCAATCCTAAACTCTTACCAGTTTGATGAAAAAAAACGTTTTAAATTATGTTATGTTTTAAAATTTTAAATAATTGTTTTTTTTAAAAAAAATTACAATGCTAGTGTTATGTACCCCAACTGCTCTTTTTATTATGTATGGATTATTTGCTTGAATGTTATTTCTTATAAATACTTGAATAATATGAGGTGTTGATATTATTTATTCCATTATTACATTTCATAATCAACTCTGCCGTGAAAAAAAAATACAACATAAAGAAATACTGTTATTTTTTTATGTATGGAGCTCTAATATTTACAATTAATTTCTAAATAATTTATTTTATATACTGTATTTGTTGTTTGAAAATTTTATTATTACAAAATCCTACAGTTAGTTCTGCGTGGTTATATTATTAACTTAAACATTAGAAGACAAAAAAATTAATGTATTAATTCCTTTGTTCAATTGTATAGGTTTGATTTTGTTTTATTTAAATTTAAAATAAAGTGATGAATGTTTGCAAATTATAATTTACTTAGCTTTTGACATCTATATTAGTTAAAAATGTTAAAAAAAAAANTTCCAGTGTTTTTATTTATAATTTTATTTATTTCTATTACCAGTGTTATGCATTAAATATTGAAGTAATTACTATAGATACATAAACAATGCTCTACAGCATTAACCATAAAAATTAATATCATTAATAACCAATAATATCTAAATATAAAATCAAACAAACTGAACTCCTATAATAAAGCCTAAATTATTCATGTAAAGCAAATGAAATCCAAATATAATAATAAAATACTTTAGTAAACTAATAATATCTTAGCCAATCTATTCATCAACAAAATTGTCCTTCATTTCATCATCTTGCTCGTCTACCTTTGCTTTGCCCTTCAAGGCAGTGGCTGATTGAGCAACAAATCATGCCTCGTCTTCTATTAGCTCCATTAGATTTTTCTTTGCATTAGAAGTGTCGCCGACCTTCTCTTTACCTTTGAGAGATTTCAAAGGTTTTGAAACTTCATCTTCTCCAATGAAGTCTTATGAAACAATTTATAAAATACAAATTATAGTATTTAAATTGTATATAATTATTTGTATGAAATAAATTTGCAATTTTAAAGAAAAATAATAAGTGTGAAAAATGAACATTGACCTTGCCGTTGTTAGCCTCTTCACGTTATAGTAAAGTCAAGAAGTTAGATTCCTGTAAAATTTCATAGAAAAAATTATAAGTTCTCGAATTTAATCATAGTTTATAAATCAACATGATTAAGTTTTTTTTTATTAAACTTACTTCTTTCTCGGTAACCCATTGACTGTACATAGATACCAGATTTTCATCACCAATCATCCTAACAACAGAAAATGTTGTTGCTTCTTCCTTGAAATTCGATCCCCCTGTAAAAAAACATAATATTAAGAATTAGGGTAAAATATGAGAAGAAATATTAATTATTAATTTTGAGTGTGATTCATACCTCAATGTCATGAAAGACAATTTCAAGTATGTTCTTGTAGGAGGAGTATTCATTAGTCCTTTGAAAAATTCGAACCACTCTTAACTTCAGCGTAGGCCTGTTGGTCCTTGTTATTTGCTTGATGTTGCCCCATGCTCTTGCCATTTTTCTGCTGGTATGTGAAATGCGAGTGTATAAGATGTGTCGTGATCGGTTATCTACGTTGGGAAGTTCATTTATAGGCATGGGAAATAATAATAATAATAATAATAATAATAATAATAATAATAATAATAATAATAATAATAATAATAATAATAATAATAATAATAATATAATGATAAGATTAATTTAAATTATGAATTTGAATAACTTCAAACTGTGAGCTGATGATAAGATAAGTTCAAATGATTTGGATAGTAAATTAATTGGTTAGTAGTTAAGATTTTTTTCCGTCTACAAAGATGACCACGAAATCTACATGTGTGTAATTATTTTTATTATGTTTTCTGAACATCATTTAACTAACTTCAAATTGTCATTTGATGATAAGATAAGTCAAAACTATTTGAATAACTAATTAATTGATTTGGTTGTTTAGATTTTTTTTTTTCTGTGTAGAAAGATTGGCTGAGCTAATGTACACGTGTTTAATCATTAAATGCATTTCTGTTAGTATTTTAGCATGGTATTAAAATTATAGTATTATATTATTCAATGATAAATATTAAGGATTCTTCATTGTAATTATGTTATTTAAAGGTGTTGTTTAAATAATGATGACCTATATAATTTGTTTAGAGTACAATTTATTAGGAATTGTGATGTTATTGTAATTTATTTTAACAACTTTTTTCTTAAAGTAATTTATGTCCTCTTTTATAATGTTTTATGTTGTACGGTTCCTATTCCTATTAAAACATGTATCTATTTCTATTAAATTTGTACGTCCTCTTTTGTGAGGTTTTTAAGTTTGCTTGGTTCCTAGTAAAGCATGTATTTGTATTATATCATTTGAATTGTTATTTATCTAATGCCAAGTGTAATTATAAATTTAAATTGAAGAGTAAAGCATGAATTTTATTGTATTATTTCAATTGTTAGTTATCTAATGTCAAGTGTAATTATAAATTTAAACTGAAGAAACCGAAATCAGGTGCTTTGAGTTAATTCAAATTCTTAAGTGCACGTACCCAAATGTATTTTGGGCTCCATGGCAATTATATTAAATTTAAATTGCACAAACTGAAATCAAGTGTTATCCTTAAATTCAAATTCTTAAATGCACGTAATCAAATGTATTCGACATCCATTTCAATTAAATATTAATATTAAAATTGCAGAAACTGAAATTAAATGTTTTGATTTAAGTGAAACTTTGCATGATTTCAAATGTAATTTAATTTGAAAAGCACGTCTTTCGGTAACAGAAATGAAGTGAAATGTTTTGATTTAAGTTAAACTTAGTGCATGTTTTCAAATCCTCTCTTAATATAATTTGAAAACGTGCTGAGCCTAAATGGTTGCCTCGCACGCTTCGGAAGCTTATTTGGCAATATTACATGCTTCGACTTTTGGTTTTGATACATTATTTAATTGTTTAAAATAAAATACTTAATAAATAAGATTTTTCTTAATTCAATCCCCCAAGGATTCTTATATGTCGTGTAATCATCCAACTCCAAAATAAAGTAAAATTGCAATATACCTAAAATATCTATAAGAAAAAACAATCAAATCCATTCTCTCTGCGAAAAAAAAAAAGAAAGAAATTCCAACGATCCGGCCAGTCCCAAAAAATTTTCAACCGCGTTTTCAATTGACAACATCAATTTCAACAGCAATTGATCTCAATCCCAGCCGCGTTTTCAACAGAAACCGCCGACGCCACACCAGCACCAGTCTTTGGCCTCTTACTTTCATCTCCTCCATGTGATTCCCCGCTTTCGTTGATTATTTGTTTTCCTTGCAAATTTAGGGTATGCACAATCTATGCACAAATTTTCCGATTGCGTCATTGTTGAAATCGACTTTATCTATGCGCGTCTGTGTCTTCTTGCGAAGTAGATTGTTCCACCAAAGTATTTGAAATTTGGATAGTTTTGTAACGGGTTTTTGTTTTTTCATGTCTGTTTGATAAAAAATGTGATTTTTTATATCTTGTTTCATTATATTTGTTGTGACTTCGACTGAAAATTGGACGAAATGAGCATGGTTTCTTTTTATTTGGTCTACTGAAGGTTGCACAGTTATTTTGATCCCTACAAACTCATCTCACCTGGCTAAGACAATATAAATCGAAAATATATTTTAACTACACCACAGTAATGCTTTGATAATCCACTAAAAATTATTCATAGACATCTCCAGAGCATTTAGAAGCATGTTCATGTATTTAACTTAGACAATTCTTGCAACATCTTTCTGCGTGTAAATGAAGTGCTATGCCAAAAATATCATGATGAATAAAGTGGTGTGCTTCTCATATTATTTTCTCACTTTACCTGATAATTTTTTTATTTATTTGGTGAATAATAGACTGCACGAGATAAAATTCGACTCCATTCTCTCTAAGAAAATCGGGCAGGGATCGAAGAAGGCCAGACAACGATCGAGTGGAGAAAATCGGCCAGGGATCAAAGTACGTCAGCCCCCAAAAAAGTTCCGGTATACTCATGATTCTATGGTGTTAGGGTACTTAATTGTGTGGTGATTTTATTGAGGGAAAAAAAAGCGAAGATGTAGTTACTGCTGTATGTTGTATGCTTTATCTATCAGTAAAATTATTGACCATAATGAGGTTTTCAAATATCTATAAAAATACATTGAAATAGTTATAGAATAGTACATGATCTTTCTAATATATTTTAAAGAGTTGAAATAAAAATAAAATAAATTTTGATGAACACCATGTTAAATAAATTATTTAAATCTTTTTAGATTATCTATAAAAATACGTTGAAATAGTTATAGAATATTACATGATCTTTTTAATATATTTTAAAGAGTTGAAATAGTTATACAACAACATGTTTGTTTTTTTTTTTATTATTTTATGTTTTATATTTTTTTTTCAAACAACCCGTGTAGTACACGGGTGTCATACTAGTGTAATTTAATTTTAAAAGCACGTCCTTTGGTAACAGAAATGAAGTGCTTAATTTCAATTGCGTGAATATCTGTTAAGTTGGACACACGTGACGATAAATATGGATTGTTAATTCTTCACTATATAAACAACTACCCTTTCCGATTTTAATGGGGTGGTCCCAAGAGAAAATGCAGGAATTATAAAGATATTCCACAATTAGTAAGTCAAAGTTTTGACTCAATTATTTTAACTTTCCAAAAAAGAATTTAACATCAACCTTTTTAAATATATATAGATTTTAAATATAACAAAATCTATTTAGACAATCGTATCGATCCTATCAGTCCAACCGACTTGTGTTGACGGATTCGAGAGCAAATATTTTATTCAAGCGAACTAGAGTGGTTATAAACCGGTTCTCGATCCATTCGATCGGACTGTGTCCAACCCGATTTAATTTTAAAAAAATAGATAAATCATGATTAATGTTATTTATATATTTAATTTATAATACAATCATAATTGACTAAATAGACCAAAAGTCCATGTTTTAAGTTTAACAAGTATGAAGACTAATCTTGGGAGCTAAAAAGCATAGTTGTCAAAACAGGACAGGACCGGCCGGTTCGACCGGTAGCCGGCACATACGCCGGTTCGGTTTGAGAAAGAAAACCGTTTGGACCCTAAACCGGTTACAAACCGGATGAACCCTTTCTCAAACCGTTGTGAACCTTTTCTCAAACCGTTTGGACCCTAAACCGGCTACAAACCGTTGAATCGACAACGGCTTGTGTTGCTCAACGGTCCACTTGATTGCTTTGATTTGAGTTGGCTGGAGAATCAATTATATAGCTGCACTATTTTATTTGAGCTTTCAATGTGGGATAGTGACAAATAAAGGCTTCATGCAATTGTTGTGTTGTTATTATTGGGCCTTATATGGCTGGAACTTAAAGAATGTGACTTCAAAAAAGAAAATAATAATTGGGCTGTTATTAACGCTATACATTTTATAATTTGAATGGTAAGATGTTTGACACTTTAATACTCATTCTCCATTCAATAATGTCATTATTTAAAAAAAAAAAAGAAAAAAGAAAAAAACTCACCCCAAGCGTGAATGAGGCTAATAATTATTATGTGGGGAAAAGTAAAATAATAATGTTGATTATAAACCTACACTAGCTAAAATAATTAGAATATACACGATTCCATATTTATTTTTTCCTTTATTTAATTCGAATAATGTCAATATACACTATAAAATTAATAGTAAAAACATATACCATTATATATTATACATAAAAAATAAATTAAATTATATATTAATTAAAATGGTTCGACCGTTTTGTCCACTGGTCAGATCAGTGAACCATTGAATCAGTAACTTCACTGGTTCGATGACCGGCCCGGATAACCTTGGCTAAAAGGCAGACTAGTAGTTGAATTCAATTAATTAAACAATGTAAATGTTGGTGTTAGGTACACACATATCTGTAAAGTGGTAGTTGACTACATTTCCGAAGTTTCCTCATAAATAATTGAACTGAAAACTAAGAGGAGAGAGAGAGCAGGTACTGAAAATCAATGGAGGAGCAGATTGTGCACAAGCAGGTGAAGGTGAACGGCATTGATATGCACGTGGCCGAGCTGGGCGGCGGCGATGCGGCCATCCTCTTCATCCACGGCTTCCCGGAGCTCTGGTACTCGTGGCGCCACCAGATGCGCCACCTCTCCACCAAGGGCTACCGCACCATTGCTCCCGACCTCCGCGGATATGGCGATACCAAAGGCGCCCCGCCGTTCGCCGCCGCCTATACTGTGCTCCACGTGGTGGGGGACTTGGTGGCCCTGCTGGACGAGCTTGGGATGGAGAAGGTGTTCCTGGTGGGCCACGACTGGGGCGCCATCATCGCCTGGTGGTTCTGCTTGCTCAGGCCCGACAGAGTCAAAGCCTTGGTCAACAGCAGCGTCATCTTCCAGCCCAGAAACCCCCTGCTCAAGACTATACAGGGCTACAGACAGGCTTTTGGAGACGGCTTCTACATGTGCAGATTCCAGGTACATATATTAATCTTTAATTTGTAAAATGAAATATTATTAGTGGGATTTAATTATGCAATTGGATTTTGCAATTTAATTCATTCACACAATATGTATTCTTTTTGTGTGAAATATATTAATTAGGAAGCAGGGCAAGCAGAGGCAGCATTTGCATCCACCGACACCGCAAATGTAATAACAACTTTTCTGTGTATGCGTAACCCAAAACCATTGGCTATACCCCCTGAGGTGGATATGGGTTTATTGTTCAAAGCTCCACCACCGCCTTTGCCATCGTGGCTCACTCACCAAGATATCGATTATTACGCCTCTAAGTTTGAAAAAACCGGCTTCACCGGTGGACTTAACTACTACCGAGCTATGGACTTGTAAGTTCCATTAATAATAACGATTGATTGAGATTGACTATAAATTGATCAAATGCTTTAATTTTGCACGTACGTAGGAGTTGGGAGCTGACAGCGCCATGGACAGGAGCTCAAGTTCAAGTGCCGGTCAAGTTCTTGGTGGGTGACCTCGACCTGGCGTACCATTTTCCGGGCGTCAAGGACTTCATTGAGAGTGGTGGCTTCAAGAAATTTGTTCCACTTCTCGAACAAGTTGTGGTGATGGAAGGAGTTGGACACTTTATCAACCAAGAAAAGCCTATGGAGATCAGCAACCACGTTTACGATTTCATATTATGATCTTTATCGACCTGACCAATATGTTGATTGTAGTGGAAAGCTTACAATTATTCTTGAAATTGTAACATATTATGATCTTTGTCGGGTCGAAAACGATATCAACGTTCTAGAATTATCTCATATTTTCTTGGATCTAACCCAAGGTATTGGTCCTCCAGCTCATTATATAATTCAAGGAAAAGAATACAACATGTGTTATTATTTAATTGATAGCACATATCCAAAATGATTTGCAATTGTGCTAACAATTCATGAGCCACGTGGTCCAAAGAAAAAATATTTTGAAATGAAACTAGAAACATGCATAATAGACCTGGAACGTGCATTTGGAGTACTTCAATCATGTTTTAGCATTGTAGCTAGGGGTTTGATTGTGTGGCCGCGATGATTATGCCGTTTTTCTACCAAAATATCAGAAAAAATTCCAATAATTATGCCGTTTTTGAACGCGAAAACTCATTTTCTACCAAAATATCCGAAAAAATTCCAATGGTTACTCTCACGTGAGCAATATCTTTCAGAGTCCCTATCAAAGGTCATAAAGTTGAGGTGTGATTGTGTGGCCGCGATATCACGTGAGCAACTTTCGTACCCACTTGCCAATTAGGCACGGCACCCCACCCCACCACCGAATATGGAAGAATTTATTATTTACATTTAAGTAAATCGAAGAGATGGTCGACCAAATTAATCGAAGATTTTGAAATCGAGAAGAGAAATGGAGGAGGAGCAAAAGATTAGGCACAAGAAGGTGAAGGTTAACGGCATCGATATGCACGTGGCCGAGCTGGGCGGCGGTGGGCCGGCGTCTGGGGCCATCCTGTTCCTCCACGGCTTCCCGGAGCTTTGGTACTCGTGGCGCCACCAGATGCGCCACCTCTCCGCCAGGGGCTACCGCACCATCGCCCCCGACCTCCGCGGATATGGCGACACCGAAGGCGCCCCGCCATCCGCCGCCGCCTACACTGTGCTTCACGTGGTGGGGGACCTGGTGGCCCTGCTGGACGCGCTTGGGCTGGAGAAGGTGTTTCTGGTGGGCCACGACTGGGGCGCCAACATCGCCTGGTGGTTCTGCCTGCTGAGGCCCGATAGGGTCAAAGCTTTGGTCAACAGCAGCGTAGTTTTCCGGCCAAGAAATCCACTGCTCAGTTCTGTAGAGAACTACAGAAACGTGCTTGGGGACAGCTTCTACATATGCAGGTTCCAGGTATTGTTTATCTTTGACCAACACCTACAACTGTTGAGCTGAATGTTGGTATAAGATATTCAAGTGATTGTCTGAATTTGAGTTACAACTGTGTTTGTGTATGTGTGTGTCAAAGTTGAGATGTCATACTATGAGATCTGAGGCACTTTAATTAATTCCTTTATCAATCAATTCCTGATAGAGTGATAATTCAACTTGAACAGATCTCGATTCTATTTACTTTCCAACTTAATTACCAAAACAATCATTAGGTAAATAAGTAACATGCCTGTAAACAGAGCACATTTATGAAATACAATAACAATTGAAGTAGTGGAAAATTTGTAAGTACTCGTGTCTTTGTGTTTACAAAATCACTACTCGTGTCTTTCATAGTCAGAACGATGACCGGTAACAGAAGATGGTAGTTTTACGAACACAATGGCAAAAATATGTGGTACTTTGTATTTCCCTTAATTAGTTAGTAAAGTAAGTTGACTACTTTATCAGTTGAATACATATGCATGCTGTCCATGAATTCTAATGACATCTTCTTTTTTGTGTGTGTGTTTCTTGTATAAATTACTACTTTAATTTATTAAAATAATTTGTATGTTATATGTTTTATGTATATGCATTGGTTTGTGTGATTTATTAGAAACCGGGGGAAGCAGAAGCAGCATTTGCTTCCACCGATACAGCAACTGTAATAAGAACATTTTTGACTACTCTAAAGCCAGAACCTTTAGTTATACCCACTGAAATGGGTATGGACACGTTGTTCAAAGCTCCACTACCACCATTGCCTTCTTGGCTCACCCAGCAAGATATAAATTACTACGCCTCTAAATTCGAAAAATCTGGCTTCACCGGGGGATTGAACTACTACCGAGCCATGGACATGTAAGTTCCATTGCATGTTTCGTTTGTAGATTAATAGATTAACTGACAACAAAATTTGCATGAAATTAACTTTCTATTGTTTACTTTGCTTTAATGATAATTAGTGTTTTTTTCTTGTTCTTTTTTGTAGGAGTTGGGAGCTGACAGCACCATGGACAGGAGCAGAAGTTAGAGTGCCGGTCAAGTTCTTGGTTGGCGATCAGGACCTGACTTACCATTTTCCTGGAGTGAAGGAGTTCATAGAGAGCGGTGGGTTCAAGAAGTTTGTTCCACTTCTAGAAGAAGTTGTGGTGATGGACGGAGTCGGGCACTTTCTTAACCAAGAAAAGGCTGATGAATTCAGCCAGCATGTTTACGACTTCATCTCCAAGTTCTAATTAAAAATATTGTACTTCTCTCTTGTTGTACTACTATTTGAATGAACAAAAATGCCTGAGTTCTCTCCGAATTATAAACTTTTGCTTGTTTCTATGAAACTGTGTTAGCATATTGGGAATCCTACAATGAGGAATTGTGCGTGTGTGTACCCACTCGTAGATTATTTTGTTGGATGAGAGGGGCTGGACCATGACGACGCTGTTCTCTGGAAATCTCTCTTAGGTTTTCAGAGTCACACACAACATTTATGAAGTTGAAGGTGTTGGGCTCACACAAGTTATAGGTTTCTCGAATCATATCAAAACACATCAAAATGTTCTTTACCGGAAACATTAAATTAAATGGAACAAACATGTGATCAAGGTTTACGCTGGGCGCTCGCGGGAATGGAGCCTAGTGCAGAGACTAGGGCTGTTATCGAACCGAGCTTAAGGTGTTCGAGTTCGAGTTCGATTAATTTTCGAACATGTTCTTGTTCGTTCGATTAGTAAACGAACAAAAAATTTTGTTCATGTTCATTCGTTTATTGGTTCGATACGTTCGTGTTCGTTCATTTATCTAGTCGAACATGTTCATGAATTGTTCGAATTGTTCGACAAGTTCGTGTTCGAGTTGTTCGACATGTTCGTGTTCGTATTTTTTAACTTTTTTTTTAATTTTAATGTCATACAAGTCATTTTATTTATTATTTAATATCTATTCATATTATATGTTATATTATATATGTATATACTATATATAATATATAAAATTATAAAATATTTGTGTTTAATTTAATATTTAATATATATTCATATTTATATATAATATTATACATGTATATACTATATATAATATATAAAATTATAAAATATTTGTGTTTAATTTAATATTTAATATATATTCATATTTATATATTATATTATACATGTATACTAGTACGACACCCGTGTACTACACGGGTTGTTTGAAAAAAAAAATATAAAACATGAAATAATAGAAAAAACACATGTTGTATAACCATTTCAACTCTTTAAAATATATTAGAAAGATCATGTAATATTCTATAACTATTTCAATGTATTTTTATAGATACTTTAAAAAGATTTAAGTAATTTATTTATGGTTGGATTGAAAAGATATTCTAAAAGTTATTGTTTACATTAATAAGAATCCAATTTATTTGGGAAGCTTTATAAGATAAGAATCCTTTTTATTTTGGAATTGGAGGATTTACACGACATATAAGTTTGGGAAGCTTTATAAGATAAGAATCCTATTTATTTTGGAATTGGAGGATTTACACGGCATGCTTTATAAGATAAGAATCCTATTTATTTTGGAATTGGAGGATTTACACGGCATGTAAGTTTGAGGGTCAAAAATCTTATTAAGTATTTTATTTTAAATAATTAGGAATGTATCCGAATCAAAAGCCGAAGCATGTAATGTTGCCAAGTAAGTTTTTAAGTATTTTATTTTAAATAATTAGGAATGTATCCGAACCAAAAGCCGAAACATGTAATGTTGCCAAGTAAGCTTTTAAGTATTTTATTTTAAATAATTAGAAATGTATCTGAACCAAAAGCCGAAACATGTAATGTTGCCAAGTAAGATTCCGAAGCGTGCGAGGCAGCCATTTAGGCTCAACACGTTTTCAAATTATATTAAGAGGGGATACTATATGTAATATATAAAATTATAAAATATTTTTTTGTTCGCGAACGCTCGATTAGTTAGCGAACATGTTCGTGTTCGTTCGATAACTAAACGAGCGTAATTTTATGTTCGTGTTCGGTTCGATTGCTAAACAAACGAGTTTATCGAACACGAATGAATTCGAACGAGCTTTGTTCGCGAACGTTCGGTTCGAAAAACAGCCGTAGCCGAGACTGCCTAGGTAGGGTCGTAAAAATACTAATAAATTTATTTATATTTAAAATCATGCATATCTTAGAAACTATATTTTATAAAATACTCCAACTAGTATGATTTAATGCAGTTTAAAAAAAATAATAAAAAATAAAAAAATAACAGATGGTCTAATCAATTTAGATTTGCAACAACATAGATAGAAGGGCGGGTGACTAGCCGGACTTTTAGTACAATGTACACGACTTAGGGGGGTGTATTTAATTAGGATTTTTAAGGACTTTTTAAGACTTTAGAAATCCTGGTGTATTCAATTTAGATTTGTTAAGACTTTTTAAAACTTTTAAAAATCTTGGGGTATTCAATTGGGATTTTCAAAAGTCTTACAAAATCCTGAGGTATTTAATTTTTTTGACACTAGGATTTATTAAGACTTTTTAAGATTTTGTGGAATTTCTAAACAAAAAACCTTATAGGAAATCTCACTTCAAATCCTACCTCCGGACTTGAGATTTCATAAAATTTTTCCAAAATCTGAAAATCCTAGAAAGTCTCAAATCTCAAAAAGTCTTAAAATGTCACTTGAATTCCGAATTGAATACACCCCCCTTATATAGAAATTCCAGCAGCGGTATAATCCATCTTGCATTATATTATTGTCTGCTGTATTAGGAAGTTCTCTAAGATATGTTTGGTTGATAAAATTGATAATTTAGTTAATATTTAGAGAAATCTATCTATCTATTAATATATAAAGAGGCAATGATATTTACCTGAAATAGTAACTAAAAATGAACAAAAACACATTTGGTTTCTCGCCTAAAATATTTACTAAATTAATCTTTTTGTCAAAATTTAAAAAATCCCGCCTATGTGATATCAACTTTATTTTTTTCGAAAATTTAAATGTAAGCATTAGACCAGTTTGAAAACAAAATCGGCCTAATTTTGTGTCTATCGAATATATTTATGCAAATTATTTTTTTAAGAGCCGATAGTCTTGCAATCAAAAACTCTGATTTTTTTTAATTTAAACTATAAGTTTATTTCAAAAAAAATTTTTTCAATAAAAAAATTCGAATTTAGTTAATCTCAACAAAAGATTACTAATTATAAAACGTACGATTTTTCCAATATAAAAAAACAATTACACAAATGAAATTTTGTATGATTTTTTTTTTCTTTTAGTTCATAATCACAATAAAATCAATTTTAAACTTAATTGTCATTCAAATCCATAAGGTACCATAATTTAGGTCTACGAAAGTAAAGTTCATTTGCATATATATTATTAGATTTCAATTTTTTTTAATATAAATGCTAAAATCTGATTCAATAAGGTAGCACAATTTAAGTTTTTTTTAAAACTCTAATTGATAGCAATTTAAAATTATTATTCTAAAACAGTACCCTAGGTGTATTTAAACTCATTTTCACCATTTTCATACCTAATCAACAATCGGGCAATTGAAAAAATTTTTAATCCATCAACTAAAGATCGGATGTAATAATCCTAAGAAAGTTTTGCACGATTTTTATTCCTAATTAATTATTTGACAAATTGAAAAAAATTTATAATCTTACCAATAAAAAATTGAATATGTAACGTTAAAAGCATAAACTAAATCTACAAAAATATTTGCATTGATCTAATTAACAAATGAAACATACATAAATTTCACTATAAATAGATCAATGCAAACAATTATTATTGCATTCAACACACTCGATTTACGAATCACATCTTAGATATACAACCTTTAATTTTTAATTAATTAAAAATGACGCCACCATGGAGTTTGATCAAGGATATCAAGAGGTCCAATAGGCCATTGCTCAAGCTTCGTATTATTCGCGTGTTTAAAGATTGTCCGAGAATATTTCTTACAAAAATGTACTTGAGTTAATTTTGCCTTTTGCATGATAGTGAGGTTTGTCACTTCTTTCTGTTATTAATTTTGTTTTTTTATTTTTTCNTTCACATACCCAAGTTCATTGACGAGCTTAAGGATGAAAAAGTTTATGCCTTTCATCATTATCAAGTGGAGAGCAACATTGATATTTACAAATCAGCTATTGGCAAATATCGCATCATACTTCATGTGAGAACCGAATATAGTATATAATATACTATATACTATGTCATATGTTATGCTTTATATTATAAACTATATAATATATACTATAGTATAGTATACTATATATTATATAGTATATACAGCTTAACACATTATAATATATATGTATATACTATAATACATATATTCATATTTATATAAATTATAATCTATATGTATATATTATATATTAAAAATACTGTATACTATAAAAAATCTTGATATTGAAGGATAAGAGTAAAATTTGCGCAAAAATAAACGCGATAGCCTAGCGGCCTAATGGTAATGAAGGTGTGCCCAGAGATAACCGACTCGCCCACCCGGGTTCGAGTCCCGAATCTGGGGTCCTCCTACCATTTTTTCCTAATATTCGTAAAATGTATTATGAGAATACGTTTTACATTTAATTAAACGTAAAACGGATTCTATAAAAAAAAAACCTGCTTCTTCTTCTTTCACGCGAACAGAAAATCCGAACACACACACACACACACAGAAGAGAGAAACAGAGCGAGAGCGAGGGGAGAGAGCGAGAAAGAAGCTTCGTGGTCGGAAAATTTTGCCGAACATTCACCTAACCATCACCGCCGGACCTCCTTCCCGTCTATTAGGTACGTTTATTCTATTAGGCTTCGATTTTTTCAATTTTTCAAATCATTTTCGAATTAGAGTTTTTTCTTTTATATTGAATATGTTGTTTGAATTATATATAATGTGTTGTGATTGAGATATGTTGATGGATTGTTTGATTATGTTGTTTGATAAATTGATGGATTATTTGGAAATTGATTAGGGTTTTGTAGTTTGTTTGGAAATATATGATTTGAAGGTGTTCGATAAAATGCCTGAAAGGGATTGTTGTACATATTGTAAATTTGTGAAGATTGTGATGGGTTAATTTATTTGTGAATTTATATAATATGTATAGGGATTATTTTGTCGGAAGTTGAATTGTTGGAGTCGAATTGTCGATTAGGGATTTTTTTTAATTTACTGTGTATATGATTTGTGAATTTGTGAATTTATTGTGTATTTCATTTATTTGTGTTTTTTTTTTTGCAGAAAATGACATCTTCGTCGTCCTCACAACCGCAACGCTACAATGTACATCCCGATCCGAGGGATCCGTCCGTTTTATATTTTCAGTACCGCCACCGGTCGAGTGCGCTATTCGATGATATCCCGAGATGTCGTGACGGCGTCATTAAACCCCGCCGTTTCGACACTGAGTTCTGGAAGGCGTTGGAGCATCAGCATCCCAGAGTTTGGGAGGTCATCGACAGGATGGGTTTTGGCCCGCAGTTTCGAATGGACAGAGTTATGACCGACAACAGCCTCATCACGTGTCTGGTGGAAAGGTGGCGACCGGAGACGCATACCTTCCACTTTGACTTCGTGGAAGCCACCATCACGCTGCAGGACGTACAAGTCCTATT